GTGAACTAATAGATATAACATCACGATAATATATGTGACCATTATTCAAAGGACTATACGAATACTGGGTTAACAAAAATAAAAACCGATTGAGAAGGTTAAGGTGGAAATAAGGATTAACAATAATAGGTTGCGTTTCTTTAGTTGGGCTCACCAATGTAGAATTATAGTCTACTATGATATTAGTACTGCTCTAATAATAGACCTAATCCTAAATTTGTAGATTTGTCATGATATGACTGCCTAATCCATAAGATCTTACGTGGAAGTCACACCATCGACTACACCAACTCACTGTATCGTATCAATTACCAATACATGATGTAGAACAAGGTTAGGCTAGAGAAAGAACAATATATTTAATATGAAAAGAAGATATAAGGTAACATTCAGCAGAGACCATGCCTGCATGGCCGAGCCATGCCGTTCGATCAACTCTAGTCTATTCAATTCATTATTCGCGCCTTCTCCATCGTTAGGTATTTCTTCGCGTTAAATATTGAATACCTATTTTCCGAGTAATCTCGTATTCAGCTTTGAGGATAGTGTGGTTATGGTCCAATGCCACTACACGTCTACGTCAATACTTCAGACATGGTGTATGGTACTTTCGATACACACACTTTCGTTATGGACTCGGCGGCGACTGAAATTTCTGCAGTATGGTCTACCCCCAGTTATGCGGACATAACATACATTTTTCAGGAATGTTAGTGTTAACCATGTGAATTATGTTATATGGCTCACAAATGTTGATGTTCGCAAGTGCTTGGAACATCTTGTAAGAACCAGGCGATCTGATGTGTAAGCCTTGCTCCTCGTAATGAATAATACTCTGATTCACTCAAAAGTACGAGTGCATGATAACCCATTTTCCATAACCGCTTGATTACATAGATCACTAGATTGACCGGAAGTCAATGTGGGCTTGCTGTTATCAGCGACATTTATTTGGCTTGGACAGTCATGTAAACAGCCGCGTAGAACGCGCTCACAAACACTTTAAGGGATATCTCTTCTGTTAACATTCAGTAAGATCTGAAGTAAGGAAGATACGGACCTACGCTTGACGCAATAAAGGATCTTCAGCGTCTCTCAAAGCTTGATGTAAGAAACTTAGTTCAAAGTATAATCGATTTAATGTTCAAAGATCAGTCTTAACTTTGTTAAATGAGCTCACAGCTTTCGCAGCTGAAATTGTAGCTGTACATTATAAACAAATTAGGAGAATGAGACACAAGTTAATACCAGGAGAAAACGCAAGCTACCATAGCAAAGGCCTGACTTTGGTTTTTTGTAATTTGCGTGCACGATATGCTTGTGAAAGTTTTGATTACCATGTGCGGCCTTGTGGTTATATTTTATATGCATGTTCCAAAGATCTAATTTGTGAAGGTATGTGTTTCTTGGTCATTATAATAATCATTGATACATTTCAACATTGCACTAATTGAAAATGAGACAGTAGTTACTTTTCACCATTATTACGCTAATTTCGCCGAGCGTTTGTTTCCGTATATACAAACAAGTTTGGGTAATTGACATAAATTGGCCTTATTATTCGGAAAGGCATTGACTCACGACTTTCATCGGAGATCAGAATCTTTATCTATTTTTCGATCTTAGTGGTTTTGCTATTCGCAACATAACAGCTCTTCCTCCATTTTCACATCTGCTTGTATGTTTCTGTGATGAGTTTGAAATAGTTCTCCTTCACTTGAAAAATTGGTAAAACTCAGACATTTATTACATATACCTATGATTAATAACATAGATAAAGTATATATACTAACTGTTTGAATTTGATTCATTTGTTCATCAGACGAGTGAGCGATCGTAAGTTATTCAAGAGATACTCATATTACCAAAAAATACTCGAATGCATGTAAAATTATTACAATACACTGGTAACTATTTACAACATTATGAGTTTAAACATTTTATTGAGTGAGCGGCCGCTAGATATATAGTCACATTTTATGCAAATATTGCACTTGTTATAGCCTAATTAATAAAGGGAATCATCCACAGGACACTCTCAGTAGTCTGCTGAAAATTTAAATAAACTTTTAATTAAAAAATACAATGAACATACACATGAAAATGAACAAATGTATATTAGTGTGCAACTGCGTCTGGAGTCCCTCCGCGGGCTACTGCCGGTCTCAAGCCCGGATAAAGGAGGATGGCTGGGCATGTGGTTTGGGTCCGCATCCCGTAGAAAACTAACTCGCGCTGGAAGTGGATAGGACACACATTGTGGAAAGCGCCTAACTGCGTCGCAAGACAAGCCCTCACATGGAATCCACAAGGCGAAAGGAAAAGATGAAGACCAAAGAACACATAACGCCAGGAAATGGAAATAGACCTGAGAAAAATGAACAAGAATTGGATGTAACTAGAAAAGGAGGCCCAGGACAGTATGGGTTGGAGAATGCTGGTCAGCGGCCTATGCTCCGTTGGGAGTAACAGGCGTAAGTAAATAAGTAATATTTGTGTGTACATTTCTCGTTTGCTTTGTGATTCCTTGTATTATAGAGAAGGCGGTGCTCATAAATCTGATATTTGACTGTGAAATCTCGAATATTACAATGGTAAAGAAGCTAAACTGATTTGACCATTATTATTTCAAACAACTGTGACTTGTCTTTGATCATCAGTACCGTTATATATGTAGGGACAGTGAAGTGTCACTGGACTCTAGCCAAATCAGTTTCTTTGTACATTAGGGTTGCACGCTTTTTCTATCAATGACAACGTTGGCGTTTCACTGTTTTCCCTATTTAAATGACCTCGACGACTGTTTTTGTAAACATGATTAATAAATTGTTCTCACCTAAATCACTATGTTGATCATTGTTGAGTGCGTGTATAGCTTGTTCGACCTAAAAAACATGTAATGATCTTTAAATGTATGATTTAATACCCAACACACTTAAAATGAACATTTAAGTAAAGAATATTTGAGCTTAACAAAGTGGAATAATAACAATAAAGTGACTCCATATAGGGATATTTTAATAAGTCGCCGTAAGATGAGTGTTAAAAGATTACTTTATAGGTAGTACATGTTTTGCGTTTAGAAATATTAAAAAACAATCAATATTATAGAGGTCTTAATATTGGTCTCGTATTATGGCACAATGTCACGATAGGTTATCGGGTCATATCTGGAAAATCCTCTACGGTTCATCTGTCTGAAACAGACTTGATAGTTCAAAATGATAGACTGATAGTGTAAATTCAACTAATTGGCGATGTATTCTACTAACCAATACATTATATCATTTTTCTAGCGTCTACTCTAGTAATAAGTAACATTTCCACTTCTTAAATGTTTAATTCGCAAGATGAATCTTGAAACGTTTGTGAGGTTCTCCGATGAATTTTGATGTCAAACATATTCTACGCGGACGAAGTTCCAGAATACGCATACTGAATTCACAAAGATAATTAATGTAAAAACGAATCAGTTCATATTTCTGATGTCAAGTACTAGCTAAACAGTTACTTCAAGACGTTAACGGGCCTGAAAACCATTAGTGTTGCAACCCGAAATTGTCAAAAATTCACACAAAATGAAATGCAGTCGTTGCCAGAGTTTCTTTCAATACGACACAAATCAACCAAACAATATACACACAATAGGAATGAGGATTAACGAATGCACGTATCAAGCAAATTACGAAAAAAAGGCAAATACTAAGCAAACCTAAACGTTTCGGACTGTTATGAAGTTGGTTCTCACGTCATGGGTGATTTTTCACCCATGACGTTTGATGGATAGACTACAAATTATGGACGACCTTTGAGCGATACATATGAGACCTTGAGAATGCTCACTACCAACTAAACAAAGGTTATAATTGAATATGGGGAATTAAAATTGTGATGTACATTTGTTGATTATCTTCAAGAATCGACATCAGGTTAAGTGCCAAAATTCTACTTGGTAAAATGTGTGCCCGAATGTAGTGCCAAAATCCGGGACCTGGAATTTTATATGTGATTGGTTCGTCCATATATTACAGTCTTACCGTCTCTTCTAAGGTTATTGTTCATTAATTGTGCACCTATCAGTTTGTCCGCGTTCACTTGATGCTTGGTCATGCACGCACAGTTATTTCTTAATTGTTTTGGTGTGTGCATCATGATATCTCGAGGCCTTATTTGTAATGAATAAATCTTATACGATTGCGTCCCTTATTAAATTTACGATATTATGTCTTGACGTTGATTTATTGTAATCTCTCTGATGTCAGTACTCTCATATTAAAAACCTTAGAGTTCACATTCTAATGATATAAGAATTCATAGTTCTTAGATCAAATTCAGTTCTGCTACATCTTTGAAATTTGTTATGAGATTTCAAATGTTTGGAAAATTGTTATTAATATCAGCATTCAGGAATGCTGAATCGACTCCACTGCACTAAATCATAACATACATACCCAGCAGATTGTCTTGTAGATAAACTACATATTGCGTTATTTTATAGGGCCACGCACTGTCCTTAATTTTAAGAAAGATTAAGCGGATAGTAGTACTCCGAGTAACAATATTATCGGTTTTTAGGCTTAAGAGTACCTAAAGGCTTGTTCACGCGACCTATTGAATACTAACACTGGTATAATACATATATAATAATTAGCGTCTCCATTGAAGCACTGAACCTTAAAACTTTTCGAATACTGTTGAAATACACTATCTTGACAATCGCATTTAAACTTTTGGTCTCACGTTTTGAAACACCGTTTCTTGTGCGAACCACGTGAAACTTTAATCATAAAAGAAGTCAAATGCTTCGTGTGCGGAAATTAAACTATGGAATTTCGAAATTATCAACATCGCTCGTCGGTTGCAAACGAGACGAGACGACAAGAAATTTTGCAGTATTATTTATCCTCATTCATGTTAACAAACATAAAATGATTTTTCTATAAACTCTTTCAAAGTTCTAAAAGCGTTCATAAAAAAAGATGTCAGTACATAATGAAGATGGCGCATTTACCAATTTACTTCGAGTAGAAGCATGAAAAACGCAATTGGTTATTAAGTGTCAAATATATTTGTTACTTGGTTGCCGCGTCAAGCAATAGTAACGCTACCGTCAAGTTTTCGTTGATGATTTGTGACGAGCCATTCTCCAGAGATCGATGGTAATTTCACGTACTGGTATTATCGTGGAACAGTAATGTGACCTTTTATATAATAATTGTCGATGTTCCTTGGCGCCTTACAGTTAACGATTATCGGGCGCGTAACGTTACATTCCAACACTTTTACAGTTGGTTTGTGAGATTCCCATTTGTCAAAATCATTTATCATGGAAGAGATTTGAGCGGTTCTCTATCAGCCTACAGAGTTTTCGTCCTGTTGTTACGGTCGAAATATGACTATGATCTTATGAAGATGAGAACAAAAAGGAGAATGCCTTGGGAAAAAATGAGCCAAATCGTCTACTTTTGCGAGTGTCAGGGGAAAGTAATATAGATTTTCCCCTATTTTAGGCTCTGTGGTTACGTGTCAATAATCCACTCACTCAATAAAGGGGAAGTAAATGGGAACAATGAAAATAACGGGTAGACGCTCCAAAGTGTCTGCTTTTTCTGCTGTCTGGGGAAATAATGCTGATTTTCCCTTTTATGTCGCTCTGTCTTCAAACGTCGCTGAATTGTCTACTTTTTGCTCAAACTCACGACGGATTGCCTGCTTTTCGCCTAAATACTCGCCGAGTTAATTACTTTTTGCCCAAATCTACGCCGAATTATCTACTTCGCTTAAATATTAACCGAACTGTCTGTTTTTCACATAAATACGTGCAAAATTGTCTGTTTTTCGCCCGAATTATCTACTGTCGCTTCAGCGTTTAGCACACCGCCTAACCCTAGATTTCTCCTATATTTATCTGTATTTCCATAGCAAGCCACACGACAAATGTAATCAACGTTGATATGGTACATGTTTAGGGGAATTTATTAAAGAGAACATCATATTGCACAAGATTGTGAATTGTTGACATGCTAGTTCATCGATCGTTATGTAAGTGCCAAGTCGACATTTACCCTAAATAACTGATATCAAGGAGGAGAAATAGACTTTTCCCATTTATTTGCGCTTTTGTCGGCTTTATTTTCCTTTTTATATTCTTTTTTTAATAATGTGATAGAACTTGGTTTTGCGTATAGAAGCTAAATTTGTGTCATTTGCTTTAAGAATGAGATGGAGTTTGAGTTACTTTCACATTCCTTAAGAAAGACAGTTTGATGGACTATGATCTATATTTTTGAAAATCACGTTAACCGTCCACCTAGATTATAATAAAGTCAATACTGTTGGAAAACATCTAAATGTATTCACTTGTCGAAATATGATCTCTGGAGTACTGTAACTTTCAAGGATATTTACTTTATCGTCTTATAAGACTTAGTCTTATATTTGGCTGCGACACAGAAGTTTTGATAATTGATCATGGGATTTCACATTTCAGATGTTTTTTTATGGCCGTTCAGATAATTTCAAATCTAAAAATTAGTGTCAGAAAAATCAATGATTTGATAACTGAACATTCTCAGTCCTGCGTAGATGTCCAAATAAGCCATAGTTATTCGGGAAAAATTGATTATATTAATAAAATAGAAATGATTTTCGATTCATGATCAATATTGAAGAAGACACGTTGGTACTAGCGTCACTTGAACTGGTCTACTAGAAAAATACGCATCCACTTATTGTAAACTATTAACGTGTAACGCTCAGATATGATCAATATTGCCTATCCAATTCCTGTAAAAACTTAATGCTAAAACTATATTGCTCCATCCTTATGCTTTAATTATTTGAAAAGTTTACTCTGAACTAAACCAAACCCTTTAGAACAACACTAGTATTTCATGTTTAAGGAAGTCAGTATAAGGTTTAGTTAGTAGATATTTGTGCTGTTCACGATTTTTTTGAATAAATTATTTCTTTAATCAAAACTGTTGGAAGTATTATTCATGCACATGTTCGAGTAGACAGTTTAGGGTCATACCATGGGTCAATAATACTAAGCGGCTTGTCAAACCGAAGTACAAAAACGGAGTTCCACTTTGCCACTATAATTTGAAGTCACTCGTTTCAGCTACTGTCTATATTTGGTACAAACATCTGACGTGATGTTCAAAATGCCAAATTGGCATACACTAATATGGTCGATATCAATGAAGAAAGTCTTTTTTCCTAAAGGAAATAGCGTAGGGAAAACGCAATTCACAAATAAGCATCTTTGCTGGTTGTTACTGGCATATGCGTATCAGAAATTTGTAACTCATTTTCTTACTAAAGAACTTACCTCTGTTTTAGTAGTATTTGGTTTATTTATTCCTGGTTGCTTAAATAAGTAATAGTCGATGGTTTACCGTCCTCTGTAGTTTTATATGTACGTTTAAGTAGTACGTCTCCTCGAAAAAGCTTAAAACTGATTTGTTTACTTCTAGTGATTTGATTGATAACTGTCCACAGGAATTATGAACTCATTAGGTCTACAAACATATGTAGAATTGTTCCATTTTCCATCATTGGCTCAGTCGAATGTTTTCAACCTAACTTTTGTGAAGTCTGATGCTGCAAAACGATCAAAAACTAGTCGAAAAACGTACGACATACTGGTCGCATTTTTCCGTCCAGGTGAGTATTCGTATTCTGATTTCTTTATTTTAGCCTAGTCAGCGATCCACTGGCCAGCAAATATTCCTTTAGTATACACCATTTCGATGTAGAAGACAAAATTGTTCAGCCACTAACTAAAACCATTGATTTTGCCTATTTACCAGGTTTCGTAGAAATCGTAGTGATTATTTGTATGTAAATTCTTAGGTGCCTCAGACATAGTTTGCATTAATGCATTACATGACGAAATAACTGACGAATACTTTGTTGCTATTGGCTTTGTAAAGGTAACATTTAGTTTGATCTAATGTTTATTATATTTAAGGAAGGCGAAAAAGGATATCTTAATATATACAGATCTAAGTCAGAAGAAAAGCTATCGGGTATGTTTTACACAGAAATCAGTCAATAAGTATTCTGTTCAGAAAATTGCTTGAGTTATTCCAAGTTACCTTGTGTTCCTCTTCATTTGACTCATGCACAGTAAGTTACACTTAGATTTCAATTAGACTTACATTTGTGCTAGCTTCTGTATTCAATAATGATATATTTTCAAATGAGATGAAAAATTTGCATGTTTAAAAGAATTACTTGTGTTTCTGTCTATTACTTACTATCATAACTATAATATTATCATTGTTATTGATATGACAAACTAAGTAAAAGTAGCCAAATGAGTAAATCAGTCGATGTTAATGAGAATTGACCTGAAGGACGTCTGATATCAGTACCACATTTCGGACACCACCCATTACAACAGTTATCATTAGTTCCATGAACACTCACACTAAGAAATATTAAAGTCTATTGAAAGTACAATCATACTAAACATGACGTGTGATCTTAATTATTACCAGACCATGTTTTTTCAGTAATCAGTAAACGAGTAACTATCATCTTTTATTTATTTAAATATATTCATCTAGGATATCCCGATACAGATAAACCCTAGTTAAAATCGTGCGTTTTTCAGTTCATTTAGCTACTACTTTATCTTATGTCAAGGAAATGTAAGACCAATTTCTCAGGCATTCAGTTCCTGGTGCTCAAATATCACGAAATTAAAGTGATACACATAGTTTTGACTCTAACAGTTATCTCCGTTAATCTAATCAATTTCCATTAAACTAAGCGTCTATTTTATAAAGTTTTTGCTTTGTGGATTAATGAGAGTTTGTTTGTGCTTTTTTTAGCTGTCTCATCAAAGATGAACATCAGTGGGCATTCTTTTTGTCTTATGGTGAACCTTTTAGCGAAACTTCCAGTCAACGTAAGTTTTGTAAATGCTATTTATGGAATTTTTCTGTATCCAGTATTTCTAAAACCCAACTAGTTATACTGCGCTGTTCAGAATTAGATGATTTCTTAATTTGTCACTAGTAATTTATTTTAAATTTATAATTTTGTTGCTCATATATTCATAATAAAGATCATAAACTCGCGGTTATAAATACTTTTGTAGATGACCAACATTTCATTCACAGTGTAACCAATTAGTCAGTTAGTCAGCTACAGCGTAGGACCAGGCACATATATGCATCAATCCAAGTTCCCATACCTCATTAGCACAACAAGATGAACACCGGATTCATAAACGTGATTAATTCAGTGGTGGTAATATATAAAAGAAAGATTTCATATAAGCACATAGTACAGGAAGAAAGAATTAGTTCGTAGAAAGAAAGATATGAAGCGATTTTAATCTCATAGTTTAAGGGAAGACAGAGTGTATACACCGACGTCATTGTGATCGATTCTGATCCATGTCACACAGGGTCTACAACCATTAGTTGCGATAGTCAGCCGAATCCAACCGAGTATTTTGCATCTTCCAACATGACTCAGACCAGAAGTTAGGGAATTCAAGCACCGATTAACTACATTGAAGTTAGTGATTTCAGATATGAAGCAGTTTTCACTATGAACTGAAATCAGTTCGAGAACTGTCGAAAGCTAAGAAATATGAAACATCTGGTTTATACTATTATTGTGCTATCGTGTATCCATTATCGGATCGAATCTAAAATCTTCGATTACCGTGCTGAAAGCGATCCATTATTACAGTTTCTATCATGAATCGGTTCTTTTATTCTCCTTCCTTTCATGCACATTTCAACAAATCGTTCGTCAACTACTGTAATGCTGCACTAAGATTGAAAGTGCTATACTTATAATAGGAGATTATATACACGTTGAAGTTGGACTTTGGAAATCTATTATTCATCAGTCTTCTCTTTAACATAAGAAAAATGTTCATTTTTGTGTTTGCAACATCATATATCTGTCCGATAGTCACCGTTGTTGTTATCCTATTAGAAAATTCCATTACAACATTAGTAGTAAATTACTGTCTATTATTTCTAACTGTGAGTCATCGATTTAATTACTAGATCATGAGTCCTAACCTCGCTTCATTTGTCCCAGCAACAGTAACTTAGTTCCTGTCGTATAATACACTTAACTCGATGCTCAAGAAAAAATCATTCACTTAATCACTACTAATTAAACCAAAATGACCTATGAGAACATTCTTTTGTTAATTTTGATCTAGACAAGCCTTCCAATCAACCACAAGTCAAAATATTCTCCAAACTTGTTGATGCTGTAAGTAATATTTTAAATTTGATATAGGAAATACATTCGGAATGGTATTATATTATTCTCATGTTTTATTAAATTGAAATCACTTTCTAGATTATCAAGGATTATTTTATGATTACAACGGTCTTATTGATTTTCAAAGAGATACAGCACATTATGTGTGTAATATATACTACCTATGATTGTTGTTTTGCCTTCAGTTTTATCGCTTCGTCTGCACCTCGTTTAATCGTGATTTGAGCGAAGGAATTTCTTTTCAATTAGTTTTTCATCATGGCTCTACAATAATATATATGATTTACAATAATGATATGATACTCATCGAGTGGATACTTTACGTAACAATTACATAATGACATTTAAATTAACATTGAGTAATTGGAAGAAAGAGGATTATTGATATTCAAAGCAATTATGAAATCAAGAAGTTGCTGCGTTGCGTAATATATGAAAAAGAGAGAAGGAACAGAATTTTTTAATGGATGGTCAATAGAATAGTAGTTACGTAAGAATCAAGAGATGAATGTTGAGAAATTATAAAGTTCAGAAACAAAATACAAAAATTAAAAAAAACCAAACGGAAGAAGTATGAAAAATAGTTCTGTTGAGGTAATCTTATACCGATGGCCAATGCAGCGAGAGTGGTTGTACAAATCTCTTTTGAATGCAAAGGTTAGGTTTGTGAACATGGATTGCGATGACTTCGGCAATGTGCAAAAGACGCACCATGTGGCAAATTTCATGGGATATTGTAGATAACCTTAAAAGCTTTATTCAACTCAACTTGATGTATCCATTTGGTCGAACTGGAGAGCGACGTAAAGATTTCCAATACAATTTTGGATACAAGTTAGTTTCTATGCACGCAACATTTGTCATCGCCTCACTGAGCCTTGCGCTATACTTCAGATACTCGTTGAGAATTTTTAGTGCAAATGTTTGCTCAGAACGTTTCAATATAGTGAAAATTCCCATTTTGACATTTGGTAAATGAAGAAGGGACGAATTGAGCGAAGAATTTTCTTTTCAACTAATCATACTGTAGCAAAATGGTTGGTGCAAATTCTCAAACCATTACACAAAGAAATTGTCAAGGATTCCTTTGAATTTGTTAAGAATATAAAAAATCTATCAGTCAAGAATAATTTCATGATATCACTTGATGTATCATCCTTATTCACTAACATTCCACTACTTGAAACGGTAGATTTTATTTGCAATGAACTAACAGTGAGGCGCACAGAAATCAAGATTCCCGCATCCGCAATAAAACAGTTAATTCTTAAATGCACAATGAATGTCCAATTTAGATTTGACAACGAATACTATAGACAACTACATGGAGTTGCCATGGGATCACCACTGGGCCCTCTACTGGCGGATATTTTCCTTGCAAAACTGGAAAGTGGACCACTTAAAAGCACAATTAACCATTTACCAACTTATTATCGCTATATAGACGATACTTTCATAGTATTAGAAAAAGAACATGATAAGGACAATTTACTTAATATATTTAATAACGTTCATCCATCAATTGATTTTACATCAGAAGATGAACAGAACAATAGCATATCATTTCTAGATGTCCAACTAACTAGAAGAGATGATGGAACTTTAAAAAGAGAGATACACAGAAAGTCTGCAACAGGACAATACACTCATTTCTACAGTGCAGTTCCAATCACATACAAAAGGAACTTGATAAAGATCTTGACTCATCGTGTCAGGATGATTTGCTCGGAAGACGCCATTGAGGATGAACTGGTTAATATTCGGAATTTACTTAGTATGAATGGGTACCCTATGAAATTAATCGACAGGCACATGATGGAGAAGAAAACAAGGGAAAAGATACCTGTCATCCCTAAGAAAGTACTGTTCATAAAATTACAATTCATAAATGACACCACTGAAGAAATCGTGACTCAGAAACTAAGAAGAGCTGTACAAAAAACATTTAATGCAGTCAGATTAAATGCTATCTTCTACAACCATCCCAAAATAAGAATTACCAATAAAGACAGACTGCGTGAATTCGCCAAATCCATGTGTATCTATCGGTTCAACTGCTCCTGTGGAGCCAGTTATATAGGGCGTACAATTCGGCAAGTTCGTCATCGTATTACAGAGGATCATTTTCGCTGGATTCGTTCCTTCTTTATTTACGAAATTTCATAATGGGAATTTTCACTATAATCGTGATTTATTTAAAGAGAGAAGATATATGCTTTATGGTATGAGTGGCTTGTATGCTTCATTAAATCATTGGAATTATAATCCGATGTATTTTAGGCTAACATTAAGGACCCGGTAGCACTGGACGGTCATTTCGTCCTAGCGTGGGACTTCATCAGTGCGCAACTACAATCCTAAACCCAGGACCTTTGGTTCCATGGGTATGCTCTCAGTCTCTATACCACTGATCCAGCATCCACAGCTCTATACTGAAAATTCTTCAAGTCATTGTGAGTGAAATATCAGATGAATGGGAGAATGTATATTTATATATTAGTTGGATTGAAAAGTACTCATAATCATTTGAAGGATGCTTAGGGCACAATATAGTGTTTAAGGATTCTATCATCTTTTGGATAGTTTCTTCCAAACTGTAAATACCCTTAACCCCTTCTGTTTTTAGTACTCAGTAATTTCTAGGTTTCTTTGCTAATATGTTAGCTTTCAAATCAATATAATTAGCTGTTAGTGTCTACAGTTTCAAGTCAATTATGTCGAGAAATTAACTGCTACTATAAGGATTGTGTAGTTGTCTCTGCATGTTGGAAATAGAGTAAATTTGGAAAATTGAACTATCATGCTCCATCCAAGTACCCTAAAGTTTACACCAGCGCGAGACTCAAAGTTCATAGGTCCGATTGTTTATTGTAAGTTAGATCATCCGAATGATCATCTGTAGAGGCTAGTATCCTCTATATCTGAATCCAATAGATAATATCCTGTTAACTGAGTATTTAATGCAGGCTAAATCTCCTAGTAGAATCATGGATTTACCCGGGATTATTCAAAATTATTCAAAACACCAGTTATAGAGATAGCTTATTGTTAAAGATTGGTAAAATCTGCAAGCGTACAGGAAGCAAGCACACAGGGTAAACAAGAGAGTGTGTGTGTGTGTTAAAAATCCATATATATTTATGAGTGTTAATCAAGTGTGGATAAATTATTGATTGTCTGTGTAATACAACCAATGGGAGAATAGATTAAAAAGTGACATGTGCTCAATCAGACTCATACAGAAAATTACATGGTAGATCAAGTGTCTAAATTACAGTGAGCAGATAAATAATACAATAGTTGAGTGGGCTTACTACACATCTCATCAGGACATAGTCTTTGGTGATAACCCAGTATAATGTAACAGCCAAGTACTATTGATTTTACAGTCGTATGATTGGTATATACTTGTAGTTAAAACGTTTATTTTAATAAATGTATCAGACATTATCTAACTGCACTGAGGTACTGTTGTTTGAATAGTTGTGACAACATCACGATAAGTATATTGCACATGTCTGTGTTCTGTATTTAACAACAATTCGGTGCTTATGAAAATGCGCGGTAATTGAGCAGAATATTGAATCAATCAGTTTTTTTTCTCTCACACAAGGTCTGAGCTTTCGGGTCACCATGTACGCTTCAGTAGTGATCCTTTGATTTTTACTGATTTTAGTGGATTAACAATCAGTTGTGTCATGTATGAATCATTGTTTCATATTTATTGGCAATTACTAAGTTTATCTAACCCCGCCTGTAGCTGTTCTAGAGTTACTGCTGGTCTCAAGCTCGGGTAAATGGTGAGGGTCAGGCATGGGGTCGGCAACTCCATTCCGTACAAAAAAATCTTGGTAAGAAAACACCAACCAGTAGCTAAGTTTGTCTAAGAATACGTACAAATTGAGTTATACGGATTGGAGATGCCAGGCAAAACATAACTAATTTATGCAACTCAGTGTTTATATGCACTTTTTGAAATTTCTATATCGGTTTAGTTATTCTCATTAAGTATATCAACCATAGAAAGTGTTGTCTATTCTTACATAATAAACTTACAGGTTCATTATTCGAATACAATAAAATATTAACAAGCATGTGGTTGGTAGAATTACTGTAGAAAAAGTTCACACACTTCCTTATAATGGTAACACATTAAAAAATCTTAGTTTAAAAATCATTCAATAATTCTTCATTTGGTATTATGTTTGGAACGGTGGTGGTGTTTCTTGGCTAGTAATATTGTATCTTTACATCAGTGTTAGTTTCATTCATCATTTTAAAGGTTACCATTGAAAAGTTTTAAGTTGAACTCCTTATTTCCTCTTACTTCTAGAATGTTTTTGAACAAGTTGAAATTGATCAAGATACAAAAAACTCTGAATTAAATCAGTCTCAAACCTGTCATTCCAGTGCAGCTTATGGTGAACTACCATTTAATATTGCTGTAGTACTTTTCCCAGAGCTAACAAAATTGCCAACAACATTAATGTAAGTTTTATTCAGTAAGATATCTTTCAGGTAAATAGAAACTTAATTTGTGTTTTTGTGTAAATAGATGTATGAACTGAACGTAGGATATTCTTTCTTTTCATCAGGCTCCTTAATTAAAAATTTAAATTGATGCTCTAAAGGGATGATCAACTTGACTAGATGTACTGCTTTTAAAAATTACGGCCTATAAATTTAGGATCACCCGTGGAGTGAAATAAAATTGTTAATCTTCATATGTTTATTGTGTATTGTTAGAATCACTAAGTTTATATATCAATGAAATCATAAGATTAATAATCTGAATAGATATAGATAACAAGAGATGAAATAATAATGTGATTTGATTGTATAGATGAAATTCGACTAGCAGTGAAATCCAGGACGCTCGTTTCATTATATTTAGGATTCGTCAAATGGATGTATTTGCATCCCAATGTCTATGACCGCACTGGAATTCAAACCCAAAACTCTGCACATCAAACGTTCAACGCGTTATCCATCTAGGTAATAAGTCTAGTTAATCACTCGTTCAACGGTTATGAGTTTTAATTTAATCTGTAAAGGTTTTTGAATTATTTGGTTACTAGGACTTTCGACACAATTACGTTGCTTGTGATTTGATATGACTTAGGTATCAGTATTTATATCGGGTTTGTGGTAGTTAAATTTTCTACTGGCTGAAAAGAACAATAATAATGCTGATATTATTTGAGCAAGATAAATTTAAGATAAGTAAACACAAAGGAGGTCGGTCGTACATATTTAAATTAGGTCCTCTTATGATTACGATAACTATTGATTTACTAGATCTTACGTTAACTGAAATGAGAAAGGAGTCTGAATTTATTTTTCTTTTACATACAAATCTCCGACTTCCTAATTCAAATAGTTGTTATTTTTGTTGTTTGGATGGCTGTAAGTCAAATAGATTTTGGCAGATAATTACCAATGCGATATAATACTGTAAACGATTGACACATTTGAATTATATAAGATGAAGTAGAACTATTGACCGTTTTCGTTGCATCTTTGCTTAGCCACTCTGAAGGTGTTTGTAAGTATGAAGAACCAAGTTCTTAGAATATTAACCGATATAAATGGTTTCAAATTAGCCGTTAAATTGATAAATACAAGATAGGTGATTAGTTTAGTTAATTTATCTCTCAAACTCGGTATCACAATCAGATGTATAGAAAACAGTAGTTGTAATTTGCCCACGTTAAACGGTCTTTAAATTATTTTACATAGTTTCTACATGTACATCATTTCTAAATAAGTAGGTGCATTAAATAGTAATTTTTCGTTAGTCATTTGAACTTCCTTGTTCTATTTCCTTTGACCCAAGTGTTTGTTTATACTATAATCTAATTTACATTTAATTTGAGTTTCATTTATTCTTAACCATAAATAAATTTTTGTTTTTAATTGAGGCTTTCACATTCCTTGTTTAATTTTTCACCACAGTTTCTTACATATGGATTTTAAAATTATAAATAATATACGGTTTTCAGCTTTCGGTTCACAAGATGGGTGGTTTGGTTTATTCGCTGTGGACATGAAATCTCGTAGTATGTTCCTTTTTATGTTTGCTTAAAATGTTTAATTTTATTTATTATTTATTTATTTTAACACATAGATATTGGTACAAGGAGGCACCAAATAGATATGGGCCACACAAATCCCATTTGATATGTATGAGGGCTGTAATACTACCCGGGTGCCCGAACCGAATCAGGTGGTTTTCTTAGGGGGCCACTCCCCGAGCCTTCGACCTGAAGGTCTGATCCACAAGGCAGTGGAGCATCGTAAGTAGATGCAGTCCCATGGAAGCCGGTGACCAATAATTGGTTCATACGCCATTTGTTCCCGCAGGATACTGAAGCCCATGTGCACCATTGGTTTGGAGTCTGGTTAAAGCGCCGGACATTCGCTTTTCGTCATCTCATTTTCGTAACAACACCCCCGTCACGAGAAGACAGTGAGTATGACTTCCCTGGCAGAGGCTATATACGCGTGGCCATGTGAGAGCATTTCGAGAGGGAGAGTGGACTCTCTTCACTCTCGGCCGTACCAGGGCTTTTGGGGGCGAAAAATGTTTAATTACATGTTTGTATACAATATTTGTAAATTTTTATCATATAATTAGTAAGTTTTTCCCCTCATTAAAGTTGTGTTTATTCCCTATAAAGTTATTATAACTGAACAGTGTATCGTACTTATCCAATTGGCTACATATTATCTGATGAAAAGTTTCCTTTTATATGAAAGATATTTGAATATCCAATATATTAAGTGTTGTCAAATAGTTTATATTAGTCATAGCTAATTTGATAAGTTCATTACACTATATCACTATACACTTTAATTTATTTGTTACTGGGCTTTCATCTGACTGAATATAAATGTGTGAAAATGTTTGAATTAACTTCTCGGAAAGTCGGCTGAATAAAACTATTCAGGTCCAATTTACCCTTAATTGTTTGTATGAATCCATTGTTTTCTTTTTAAATATACTATTTATCGCATATATTTGTATGGCGTTTTTTGTTATCCAATCAGGAACTATACGACATTTCTATTTATCTCATGAATCACCAATCACATCCATTAAAATATTTCAACAGTTTAATGGGTCTGATCCGGCTTCAGAAGAAGTGAACAAAGATAATGAAAGTAATTCATTTACTTATTCTTTAAAATTTAACTGGTTATATTGTCATATAATAATAATCATCTTATATAGTGTTATATTTTTAATACAATATGAAATTTCCAGCATAAAATATTCCAACAAACTATTGATTCTGTTCTTACATTGAAGATATACAGCAGGATCGCCACTGGCTTCTATTTTGAGCCATGTCTGATAACATCTTAAGCCACTGTGTTGTACTCCAACCAGGGAGTTGTGTGAAGGACCAACATATGCTAATCCTGTACAGCATTCTTTCATACCACCACACCATGCTATACTCTAATCACCTTTCCTATTTTCCAACCAGTCCCAGCGCCGGCAAATAATGCACGATGTGGAATTCTCCGCGAAGACCTTCGTAAGACATCCAAGCTGCCGAAGTCGGTGTTTCAAGATAGAATCGAATTATCGTCACTGTACATGAACATACGATATCGAACCTCTGCATTACTAACATAATGCTGCTAGTGTATGTTAGCAATCCTTCGGAGACAACAATGATCAAACACAAAGGGTCGTCTAACGTCCTCAACTCGGAGAGGTCAGGTTTCACAAACATAGAGCAAGACTGCTCCCATCGACGCGTTGGAGGTCCGACCTTTCACAGCCAGAACATCACGAAAGCGCTAAAGATGGCCCAGATTGGCATAAGCCGCTCTGGCTTTCACTATATATGAATTGATCTCATCACTCAAGCCATCGGCAGCACATATGCAGCTATACTGATACATGAACTTCTCGATTACTTTTATTTGCTCACTACTCAGGGTGAGTGCGGGGTCAGGGTCCTACAAGTCGTGTAAAAGTACTGTTAACTTAGAAGGTGAAGAACATACGCAACTTATACAATTTACCAAGTTTATCTTTCCTTGTTATAAAATTAATTGTCACAAACCTTAGATGATATTAGAAGCTAAACAGGTTGGTGGTTTATTGTTTATGAGGTTGAAATTTCAGTCGAAAATTGCGAGTTCGAACCCGTCCTCACAACTGGGTAGTATTACTGGTGCTTACCGACTGTGCCTCGAAGCCATGTATACAAATCTGTAACTGATAATGACTTACTAATAAATTATAACAATACATTAGCAAAATGATATCGATAACCGCTTAACCGGAAACCACAAACTGCTTGAGAATCCATTCATCAATAAAAATATGGTAATTTTAGTCTCATTTTTATATTCATTTTACATTGATGTTATCATCTATTAATTTCTTTAATTTCCTACGTTTGTAACTTATTTATATCAGTCTCTTTCTCCCTTCATCGATTTCATATCAGATGTGTCTATTCTCAAGAAAGATGTTAACTGTTTAGTGTGTTCAGCTTTTGAACCAACTGTTGTTTATTGGTAAGCATGCAAATTTCTAACATCGTATTTACATTTAAGTTAATAGTGTATATATTCTTCGACTTTTACTCAGATTAATTTTTTAAAAGAAAGTGTTAACTTCACATTCTATGTAATGTACAGATTTATCAGAACCATCGGAATGAAGCATCTAAGGTAAAGTATTTTAACTTCTCTAAATATTTATGTTCGAATATATACAAATAATTAATGTCTCTACATTAAATGATAATTGGTTCAAGGTAAAGCTCACATTAATAATAATAAACTCGACAATAACAGTGAACTTTCAGTATAGACAAGTGTAAAAAAGTTCCACTTCAATATGGTTAAACAGGTAAAAAAAATGCATCAACCATTAAGAGAACAGCTAGTTTACGACTAACTAATGAAAAGGAGGTACATGATATAAACTGTTTACGAACGAGTAGCGTAGTTATATTACCAAATTTCATGAGGTTTGTTTGTTGGTTTATTCATATTTACATTTGACTCATTCCTCCAATTGCTAACTTATCTTTAGGATACTAACTTTTTATGAAAATCTTACTTAGTATTAGAAAATATTGAGGCAAATTCGAACCCTATTTTACGTGCGTCATTTCGGACAGGTGGTTAGTTTCACTAGCCATCGAATACTCATGAAGTCTCTTACATATTTTTTCAGCTGTTATCTGTATGAATCACAGTAATAGCCTCTATTATTCCTTTTGCTACTTATCTTTTTATTCTCTAATCTCGGTTTGTTTTCCTTTGCTGTTTGGAACTGATCAACCATTACAACACATATTTTTCATGTTTATAATATCTGGATACATTGGTGTGTGTGTGATAAGGATGACTTATTGACTTCAATTTTAACCCCTATTTTTTAGATCATAAGGAGAGTAAAAAACCAAGAGTATGTGTGATACCCTGGGTTGTCGTAGCAGGAGTCTGTGATACCATTGTTCTCCAGGAAACTAAGTTAATTACTAAAACTAGTGACTAGATGTAAGTTAGGTAGAGGCAGTGACCAGTAAAGTTCAACCGGGTCTGTTGTGACACTAACTCACTAATGATAATGGTGGATGTGTCGCTCGGTTTCGTGGAGTAGTTGAAGTTAGACATTAACATCGTTGGATGCCGACCGGATATGTGGTTATGTGCTCGCCAGACTGTTAGGTCCTTGGTTCAAATCCCATGAGGCGAGATCGTGGATGAGCAATCCTGAATAGTCTCAGACTAGAACGAAACGACCGTTCAGTGCTTCCAGGTTTTCAATGGTGGTATAGCTTAAATGGACTCATGATTTAAACTATTAAAATTATTATAATATCCACAAAACCCTTTTTAATGTTTTATTTTTGCCTAAAATATTTTATTTATCTTACCAATAATGTGGTCAAACTTCGCCTTAAGGTTGATATCTAATGATCACGCGGTTATTATTTAGTTTGAAGGTAAATAAACTTCATTAATAAAAAGAGATTTCAATGATTCATATTACACATTGTCCAGTATCATATAGAGTAATTAATGTATGAATTTTATTATCATTTTAGTAATATCTTCAAAAATAATGGCTTCAGTGTACAAAATCAGTTAATTTTACCATTTAGCACAGATTTTGATCATGTCAATTGTGCTTCAGTTGATGATTTTAATTTGGATGGTAAAACTGAAATTATACTTGGAACATTTGGACAACGATTACTTTATTATGAATGGGAGTTGAATAATACAGATTCAAAAAGTGGACAATTCATGTAATATATTTCGTTTCGTTCTTACTCTATATATGTTCCGTATTTGTATTCTGTAAGGATTAATTAAAATTTGTAAAACTTCTATTAAACGCCACCGATGTTTAGTGATTAGATAACTAATCTTTATACTAAGTAGTTTACAGCTTTGGTTTAAACAGCCTAACACTACTAACGAACACTTAAGCAACATCTATTAATGCATAGAGCTGTTGTTCATTAGTTCAGACACTCCACAGTTACAAACTGCATCTCATGTAATATTTAAATGTTAGTTAGTATCGTTATAATTAATTTTGGTTTATGGCCTATAACTTATCATCAATTGACGGTTAAATTAACCGTTTCAGATAAAGTGTCATAAATGCCATGAATACTATTGTTTGTATTTGACACCCACCGCTCATATCGATACATTTGTGATAAGGTATTCATAAATTTATTTTGTCTGAACTCACAAAATCTTTTAAACTATGATATATATATATATATATATATATATATATATATATATATAGTCTACGGATTTCGGAAAGTTTATTACCTATTTTAATATTGTTTGTAGATTCGCAGTGAAAATCATCTATGCACCATAAAGTTTGACGAAGCGAATCGAACTGCATATGCCCAACAATGATAGAGTTAGAGAATTTTAGAAGTAGTTCATTTGAAATCAGTTAGCTTTATGCTTTATGAAAGAATCGGTTTACTTTAGCAAACAAAAACATAAAACGGCAGTGATAGTTTCTTAGTAAAATAATCCAACTGATTAGCTGACTAAATATTATAAATGATGAATGAGCATCAAAGGACGATTAATTAACGTGATGCAAGGTGTAAATGTTGCTTACATTCTTTGCTTACATGATCTAGTATGTCTAAGTGTTCGAATTCAAATTGTGTGCTATTCTTCATGAATAGTCTAATATTGATCTGTTCCAATAATGGCAAATGACCAGCTTTATTATGTACTGCTACCCCGCAGCTACCCTGTTCGAGTTTCAATTCATCTAGGCTTAGCTTTTTTTGAGCATCACTGAGTTTTCAGTTTGGTGGCTAAACCTCGTATAGCAATCCGTTACAGTATACATTTCTTTAGAAAGTCTTCCCTATTGGAACTGAGCATGTTTAAGTGCAATTTGAAAAGCTAGATCTCTGCGGACTCATCTTCAAAATAATGTATTGATAGAATCTCTTTTTCATTTCCTAATTAGAATAATGAATTCATTAGACTGTCGAATCCAATTATAACATCTATGAATTCTGCCAACTGATAGGTCTGCAAATTCAAATTTCCATCTGTCGTATATTGTTGTTCATAATTTACTAATTGCCGTAGTCTCCGATATATATATATATATATATATATATATATATATATATATATATATATATATATATATATATAAAATTGAATTTACGACTAAATTTAAGATATACCACTATTGAAAACCTGGAAGCACTGAACGGTCGTTTCGTTCTAGTGTGGGACTCCTCAGTAATGCCCATCCACGGTCTCACATGCAGGAGTTGGGCCTGAGGAGTCCCATACTAAAACGAAACAGCCGTCTTGTGCTTCCAGGTTTTCAGTTGTAGTCTAGTTTAACTCGACTCAAAAATTCAACTACAAAAAATTACTACAATCCCCACAAACCTCCACTGTAATATATATTGAAGGACGTCTTTCTTTTGTCTCAGTTCTCAATATTACACATATATAAAGAGTAACCGAAACAATCTTTAAGATTCATGAGTTTTTCACATCCATTCCAATGAATTCAGTAACAGCCAAACGAATTATAGTTTCAAACAACTATATCACATCAACTTTAATTTTCAAATTATTCAAAATAACTACTAGGTATATTATAAAACTTCAAATCTGTATAATGATATTCAATTTGTAAATAATTTATTCATTTTATGTTAAAACAATCTTATCGGAAGTTGTTTTATATAAATTGTATTACTAAAATCTACATCAATTTAATCATTTTCATTGTACAACTTTTATACTACATAACATTAGAATAAAATATATGATTCTTTATCATGTATCATGTTAGATACAGTTCATTTTAAGATATTCTCTTTATATTACATATTTTTTTCAGATTAAAATTTCAACGTTCACTTCCTGGTCCAGTATTTTGTATATCTCCTGCTTTAGATCTAATCGGTGAAGGTCCTCTATCATTAGCAGTTCTAACTAGTCGTGGACTACATATATTTCAACATGATACATATTGTTTAATAAAAGAAATTCATCATAGATTAGACAATCATTCACCTTTAATACCTCATTTGTAAATTACTTTTTTATTATTTGTGATTATTTGCTTATATATATATGTATAACGGCCGTTTCGTTCTAGTGTGGGACTCGAACATGAGAAGTCCCATACTAGGACGAAACGGCCACCATGTGCTTTCAGATTTTCATTGTGAAAATTAGAACAACACATCTAAGCAAACAATTGCTTTGAATTAGATTGTAATTAGGCTTTACTGTAATATACATGAATATTTATACGAAAATGTTAAACGAATCAAGGCAATTTGAGTCAATAATCACAGTGAAAAAAAGGGTTAAATATGTACAGAAGAAATTCATGAAACCCCTATCCCTTCCATGGCCAGTTGTAACTTAACAAACGACATTATTTTATTTTGGTTGACATTAAGCCCACGGCAATAAAGTTTCCCTACCACCTGTCTCTTAGAGATTGTAGTGTGTAAAAAAAATTATCGATCGGTGATTGGTGTACTTGTTTTGCAAGTGTGTACTGAAGTGATAATGAACAAACATTTTGTTACCTTTAATAATTTTGTGATTGGTCGTAAACTGTTCATCTTTGTAATCTGATTAGTTGAAATCGAAATAGCATCAAGTGCTGTGATTGGATGTCAGAATGTAGATTTTTACATTTGAAATTTAATGATAATGAATAATTTTTTTTGTATAATCTTAGTCTTGTAAGAAATTTAGACATTTATAGAAAAAAAACACCAACTTAAGTGCAATCCTACTGTTACTGAATGTGTATTGGGATAAATTTTTGATTTCCGATTAAGTGATTTAATGTCAACCGTCAATTGAAGTCGTTAGTTATGCGTCTACGAATACTTATATGTATCACATAAAAAGCAAGTTTTGGGAAAAAGGAACTGTAAACCGGTTTGAATATTTAATAATAGTGATTACTGAATTAAGTCGGTAGTCAAATGTTGAATACCGAAATAATAATGAAATTATCACTAAAGCGTGTGCATAAGTTTTTTTAGTAACAAATAGTCTGTTAATGGGAAAAAGAAATCAACATATTAATAAATCATCATGATAATTTATTGATTACGACATGTATAAATACGGTGAACGAACCGTAAACCATGGGTTAATGAACCGATTTTGACAGTATATGAAAGTAGTAATAATTTTTCCGCAAAAGGCACTAAATTTTTAGTAAATGGTCATTCTTAATGAGAATTAGACAACGTTAGATTTAAATGTGGTTAATTTGGAAATCCATTGAAACGTTTTATTGTTTTCACTTGTAAATTATTGTAGTTCTGTATATTAAAATTAATTTTTTGGTCGTAATAAAAACTAGTGTGTGTTTCATCAGTCATGTGTGAATATTGTTAACCGCCGTAATATGAAACCTGAACTATATCTAGACATTATGAATGTAACCATTTTTGACAAGCATTTGAAATATCAGTTTCATGAAGTGTAAATGAACAAGCCTACATCGTCTGACTGACTCAACAAATATCTATCGTCATTAAACGTATAAATATGAATAAGGTCAACTGTATCAATGGACATTTAAAATGTTATTATTATTTATTTTCGTTATGATTATTATTTTTCATTATCTATATCTTAATCTTTACATCCATCTTTCCTAATTCCTTATCTCGAATGCTATTGTACTTATTGTGCAGTAAAGTGTTCACTGCAAATCATCCCGACCTTTAATGAATGACCTTTCTAATTTGCAAATATTACAATTTGTAAGTAGACGGACGGCGTAACTATGAGTTATTAATAACGCCACACATTGGACAGTTCACTGTTCGTAGGCTTAGTGACGGGTCGTAAGCACAAAACCTATGAATCATCCGTCACAGTGCCTACCACCTGTCGACTATGGGTTGACCGTTGGAAAAACAACAGGAATCGAGAAATAAAAGTTGGTTTCGCGACTTATAAATGCAATACAAACGGGTATTGCCATAAAATTCATATCAAGGGCGACGACCTGATATAAATAGATGTTCTCGTTATTCGTCTTGTATGTCCCGTCCAAACCAATAACATCAGAGAAACGATCTGCCAAATTACTTTGATCACCAGTCGTGAAGAAAAAATACGATAGACAGTTATCATCGTCTAATTCGTATTCGCAAAGCCCACCGAAAGATGTTATGTGAGCTTTCAATTTTCAGTAATCACCTATCGTTTACATTATAAATTGGCATATGGCTTACCAGGAGGGTAAGCCTGTGAGAACACTTTGTACCGCATATTATAGATATCTTGATCGTTCAGAAGTTTCCCATAAGAATGATAAGCATAATTCTTAATGTGGAATTAAGCGGTACCAGATATTAGCAGCGGTCGCATATTTTCAAGCTGGGCTTCCGTTAACCTATGCACCCATGAATTACCTTGGTACCCCAGGGAATTGCACAGGTTTAAATCATGAGTCAGTTGAAGCTAGACCACCATTGAAAACCTGGAAGCACTGGACGGCCGTTTCGTGGATGCGCACTGCTGAGGAGTCCCATACCAGGACGAAACGGCCGTCCAGTGCTTCCAGGTTTTCAATGGTGGTCTAACTTCAACTGACTCATGATTTAAACCTGTGAAAAAATGTTAACTGTTGTATTTCTATTGTTTTTGTAAATAATCAATACCCAACCACCCAACAATCTATCTTTATCCATAGACTTTAAAACATTTACTAAATCGTAATACTGTGAAGTTATATGATCATTTCTTTCTGGATAAATAAATAACATCTCTCTTTTCTATACATACTGTTTTACTTGGTTCATTTAGACAAATCACAGCGAGACTATAATTTATGGATGAACCAATCAGATATAAGATAACAGGTCTCAGATTTTGTCGCAAAATTCATTCATCCAATTGGTTAAATAAAGTTTTAGCATTATAGCTGATGTCAGTTCGTGATGAAAATCCTAAATCTAATTCCTAACCTTAACCATCAACTGTAAGTCATAAATCTAATTCTTCGCACACGTTTATAACCCTCATTTGGTCTTACTTATTAGGTGGACACTCTTAAGGTCAGTCTAGCATCACTCAAAAGTCGTCCATATATTATAATTTTAACCAAATCACTCTTATTGATTTTCGTACCAAGTAAATATATAATGCCTAAGATGATTAGAAAAGAAACAAGCGTATTCAGATTACGATTCGTCTTAAAAATTCATTATAATTCTAAAAAACATTAATTGTTAGCTAATAGAATTTTATGCATTTTTAAAGCTTCAATGAGAATTTACATTATCGTTAAGTGATGAACAAGGATAACATTATGTTCTATGATCTGATTTAATAAAACAACTTCTAACTAACCTGTCATAATAAAAGGATAGGGTACGAAACTTTATATCTAAGTTCATACAGTAATGTTTACACGCCATGCAAATTTATAAGTTGCCAGACTTATGAGAACAAACAGGTTGTACTGACGCTGGTTAGTTTTATAATTCACATACTCATAACAGGTTTCTCACATTTACATCTTATTTTCTATGTAACATGTTCATCTGTCTGATTTCGTCTAACATATCCATTCCTTTTAAACACAACTAGTCTCTAATCAATTCAGTTCATATTTATTTAAGATGCTTGACAGATAATAATATAGAGTTTTCAACAGTGTTTCAATGAGTTTCTTTTACTAAATAAGAAAAAAAAGTCGATAACTACATTAATCTATGCAAGAAATAAGTAAATAAATCATATGGAATTAAGTGAAGTTTTGCTTCAGTAAAATAAGAATTTGTGCAACTTTTAATTAACAATTGGCCTAAGAATACTGGTTTTTGACTAGATCAGCTCTTACAATCTATTCGTCGCATAGTGTTTTGCTAGATAAGGTATTGTACAGCCTCTAAACTTTTCTTTATTTGCATGGATTTTGATGTATTAACTCCTCGTTTTACCAAAAGATATACAAAGAGAGATGTTAGTGAAGTTAATGTTTTGTATCTGATATGATGACAATTGTCAGACCTTGCAAGGTTTTAAATGTCTATCCATAAGCATATTCATAATGACTCCAAAAGATTCACTATACACCCTTCGCAACACAGTAAAATATTTTCTCAGAATATCGGGAAACAATAATGGGGAACAGTAAAGACCAATAGTATATAGTGAATACTGTCAAAACCGTGTAGCTATTTTATGTAATAGGTTAAGCGGAAAAAAATTCGATATAAAAAAAACATCTGAAGAGATAAGAGGACAAACTTAGACTAAGGTAAATGACCTTTGTCGATTTTTAATTCAGAATCTCCAATTGTACAATCTTTATGGGATTCTAAAAGGGTGTTTGAGTGCTGTCTATGTCTCATTTAGGTGGACCATTAACAACAGACCATTGTTCAATGAGAATGGAGATTTTATTTATTCCAAGGGGTTGTAAAAGTTAGAAATCGGTGTACATGTACTGAGAATACCCGCACACCTAATAAAAGTGTTTCCTGAGGAAGATGGCAGATCATGAAAAAAAGGGAAAGAACAGGTCTTTGTAGCACACCTTGAGTTAGTAAAGACGTTGAAACATTTCCTCCTCACACAGTATAATGTTATGCTTCAGAGAGGTAAGAACCTTTGCAGTCGGTTATCCAGCTGTCAGGGTATTGTTTCAATTCATAAAGTATCATGTATGGATAAAATAAACCAGACTTTATTTCATTCTGACAATCAATTAATCTATAAAATATTCCATTGTAAACTAAATATGTCTGTCTAGTGGTTAAGATGTCCAACTTTCAATCATTAAATTGCAGGTTCAATTCCAACTCAACTTAGGGCAGCTGAATATCATTATCTTACACACAAAAGTAAGACTCAAAACTGAGAACACGATTCTGTATTGGATAAACAAATGAAAGTTTTATCTATTCAAGATACAATATATTTTCAAATAAATTATATTTAGAATGAATATTTATTGAACAGGGAAATGACATAAAGGACAATTATGCAATTTCGTTATTTCATTTTCATAAGCACAATGTTTACATGTTGGACACATCCAAAATTGATAATCTGTAATCGGTTGACCAGTGACTACACACACAGGAATTTTTGTCTCACTAAAAAGTTTAGGTAAAAAACATAAAGGAAATGTTAAGTTTATCTGTCGAATTTCGTTTTTATTTGCAATGTAATACTTATTTTATTAGTACACAGAGAGAACACATTACTATTGTACTGTATACTAAAAGCATTATAGAAAAAGTCTCTATTTTGTTTAAACAGAATCTTGTTACAGTGTCGAAGGTAAACATAAGCGTTCTATAACAAGGCTAAAATGCACTTAACCAATGATAATTTATTCCAGTCTTCCCCTAAGTCTTTAATCTCAATATTATTTCACTTTCTATTCTTTGTTTTTGATCAATATTCTCTATGCTTAGTCTTCCTTATTATCACTAATCAGTCACTTGAATCGATGTACGTACGTACGTTGTTGCTGACTGACTTCCCATTCTTTGTTTTTGATCAATATTCTTTATGTTATGTCTTCCTTACTATCACTGGTATAACCATTTCATCTAGTTCTGTGGATGTGCGAATAATTGAACCGTTTCA